GAGGCTCAGCGCCGGCTCCTTCGTGCTTTTCACCACAATGGCGGCCTCGCGGATGCACTGGATCACCTCGTACGTCTCCTCTGTGATGGCCTATGGGTAAGGGGGGGGGAGGGGGCGAGGACATCAGCTTCCATGCCAGCCAGGCGGGAGAATTCTCAACACAGACGGGGGCCATACCTTCAACTGCACGGAGAGGTTCTCCGCGACTTTCTTGAGAAGAGAGATAGTGGGTTTATCCTTACAGAGCAGAACCAGCTCCAGCTCCAGGTCCCCTTTGAGCAGGAGACCTTTGGCCACCAAGCCCACCCTCATCACGCCCCGCAGGGATCGAGTGGCCTGCTCCAAGGGCTTCGACTCACCGCTGAAGAGGAAGGATACAGCGCTGTCACTCACTCCAGAGCGCCGTGCGTATTAAAGTTTCCGATACAACCACTCAATTTCACAGTCAGCGCGTCCTTAAAAATTCTTAAATACCAATATCTTACATCAATTGTTTACATCTCAAACATAATGCATTTTACTCAGCTATAGTGAAACGAATTAAAGAATGGCGGCAGCATCACACTGGTACTAAAACCATATGTATTCCCTGAAGTCCGACTACGACTGATATGTTAAGTGCTCATGGTAGATAAGAAGCTCTGTGGACTGATTCAGAGATTAGCTGGAAAATGTAAATGCCCACATGGTATAAGGAGTATTATAAGCAATACATTTTGATTTAGTGGGCAGCGATGACGTCACACACGTGCGATAGAGGAGCCCCTCACCTTTCCTTGTCATCCTCGGGCCCCTCAGGCACCGCACTGTTGGACTTGCCAGCTAACTTCTCCTGCTCATCCAGCCAATCGGAGACGGCCTTTAGGGCGCGCTCAGTGTGGGACACCATGTTCTGCACGGCCTCCAGCTCCTCCTGCGTGGGGTACACCGCGGCGTGCCTCGCCATCACGTGGCGGTCGTCATTCACGAAGATGCGCATGGGGCGCTGGCGGAAGGGCGGAGGCTGCCAGAGGGTGATGGATTTGAGAAGGAACCGATGGAGATGGGAGAATCCACAGAGATCAGACAGGAATTTAATGGCATGCCTGAATGCATAGCTTGTTGACATTGTACACAGTCCGCTGAACTCACACACACTTAATATAGGCATACAGTAAATATTGTACTTGCAGCTCAAGCCAACCATCAGTAATGCAACACATATAAAAAAATAAAAAATTAAAATTAAAATAAATATGGCATACCATGACTGTTCCGGCTGTCCTTGGAGGCACGCGGGTGGCAGCTGTATGACGGTGTGGCAGGGCCTCCTCGCAGTGGACACAATTGTGCAAGCAGAAAAGCTAAAGGTTTCTGAAAATAAAGACTGTCCCAACAAGCACAATGAGCTTTAAAAACACAGTAACTGACTGTGACAGATACATTAAACGCGCCACAACACCAGAGAACTAAGATTTAACTTTATAGGGATTGTAGCCTTTTAACTGTAGTATATCATATAAACGAGTCGCCTTTCAAAACATAAACACCACTTATTATTATTGTAAATGTTTGTGGTAGATCGCAGGCCATCGTACATGCAGGCGATCGGCATTTCAGATTGTTGTATTCAACAGCGCTGTTCTGCACATGGCGACAATGGCAATGCTGTAAGAAAGTGTGAAGCAAACGCACAATCTAACGATACCAGGACAAGAAAGTTTGAATTAATCATTGGCCCAACGCCCCATTGTCACAGTTGTTGGACAGCACCTACTGAGCTAACCACTGCTGCCAAATAAACTCATAAAGGGAGGAGGACCGCAAAACTGACTTCCATTAAAACACAGAAACTGACAGACCGACTGCAGAGCTACAGCATGACTACCTGGATATTTTATTAATCATCGCGTCTCACGTCAGGATCAATCCACCCTCGGAGCCCCACCGACCAAAACACAAACCGAACGGGGTCGGTCTCCAGGCCGCCATTTTACTGCCGCCGCCTCTGCGGTGCAGGTACAGCCAATACCGGCCTGCGACACCCACAGACTCGCAGCCTGCACTGTAAACTCGGCGTAACATGTGCAGCAAAGTGCAAAATAAACCGCACGCAATCGGGCGAGCGATTCCCTAAAGCGCCGCAACAAATAGGACGGGCGGCCGCCTAATGCGAATGACTGAGCCGCAACGACGCGGGTATTTTACCGTATTTGCTAAAAAAACAAAATGCTAAACACTGACGCATGCGATTCCGCGGTAAATGTCCGTTAACTAAGTGTGTATTAGTACATATCGTGATAACCACGTACGTTTGTGAACCAAAAGCCGTCGTATCCAGCAGCCCAAACAAAGAAGTTGAATAAGGAGGATGCGCCTAAGCGCTACGGGGCGGGTGCCACTGCGCAACTAGCTGTAAATCATAGCTGCCCCAACATTCAGTGCGTGGAGGCCTGGCATATTTAACGTAATTGCGATATGCATTCGCAGAGTGTTACACAAACGTTGCATTTGTCCTTACTGTTAAAGCGAAATCCGTCCCTCGGCCCCCAACCATGTAAGAAATGTACATCCGCTACTTTAACAGCACGTCATCAGTGGGCGGGAACTCTGGGCTGAGAAAACTAATCTCTCACATGATTGGTAGAACTGGGCTTTTCACCAGTTTTGTCCAATCGGACACACTGTTACAACGAGATCCCTACGGCAAAACAGACACCGGCAATTAGAAGAGGATATTTACTAGTTATGGTACGTTATTTCCATTGCCAAAGTGGAAACATTTTTCATATATGGAAACCAATTCAGCGATCATATACTGAGGTCTGCAAGAAAAACAAAAAATCATGAGGTTCTACGGGGTGCTGTAAAGCTGTCTGGGAACTAATACAATTTTAATGGTAATATAGTAGTTAACATAATACACATTCCACCATGAATTTCTGGTTTCCATGGAAACATTTTGGCGCACTTAAGCTCTCTGAAGTGCATGAGAACTAAACTCTTACTGGAAACTTGATAGGATTGGCAGTTTATACATCCTGGAGAGAGACGACCGACAAGCGATAAGTCAAGCAGGTGGTTTTATTAATCATTCTGGCCACTGACAGCCTGAAATGACTTATTAGAGTGTATTTTGGTTTTCATTATCATAAATGCTGTTGCTGCAGGGGAGCTGAAGTCATTCTTTAAATGTGATAAAGAGGCAATGGTCATGATAACACTGTGTTGTGCCAAACTTGGCTTGAGAAACAACAATTAAATTATCTTATTTTCAGTAGCTTTATTCTTGCATTACAATTATTGTGCTTCCCAGATAATTGGGAAAAATATGCATACATAGTATTCTTAAGAAAATGTAAAAGCACTTTGTTCATATATATCAAACAGTTACAAACACTAGCTTTGTAATGTTTCAACAAAAACAAAAAACTACTCACACATACACAGCCTCCAAAAAATACATGAAGTGACAGAAAAATGTGCGTGATTGTGAGATGCAATCAGCTTTGTAGGGTCAGACACATCCCCCAAGCAGACTAGATTTAACAGGGACTCCAGACAAATCAAATTCCCCTCCCCTAGCAGCTATGATGAAATTATACAACAGAAACTTTCTATGGCACAATAACAGAAAATATGAGAATTCAGGCTTCAAATAGATATCTACAAAGCAGACAGAAATTGAATATATTGAAGAAGAGATGGACACTGACATGAGTAACAAAAGAGAACATTACATTGGGAATGTGGCCCATTTAGAATGATACTTTCAGACAAGAAGATCAGTTGGCAGTATTTTGATACCTACACTATTTTAAAAAAGTGCCAATTTGTACTTTTGAAGGTACAATTACTTGTCACTGGGGCTGTACCCTCAAGGGTCTGCTAATTGTACCCTAACTAATCTAAATGTAAATGTAAGGTAAATGTACATTTTAGTCTAATTTAAGGTACAGTACTGGAATCTGAGGAATATTTTTGTACCATTGAGGGTACATTAATGTTGTTTGTACCATTGGGGGTACATTAATGTTGTTTGTACCATTGGGCACTGGCGTGCACAGATAGAGACGAGGTGGTGCTGAAGCACTTGCCCTTTTGCCCTCAGTCCAAAAAAGTGCCCTTTTGAAAGACGTGATT